AATAAGGGATAAGAATAGAATAGAATAAGGAATAGAATAGAATAGAACAGAACAAGGAACAAAGAATGGAATGGAATGGAATGGAATAGAATAGAATAGAATAGAATAGAATAGAATAGAATAGAATAGAATAGAATAGAATAGAATAAGGGATAAGGGATAAGGGATAAGGGATAAGAATAGAATAGAATAAGGGATAAGAATAGAATAGAATAAGGAATAGAATAGAATAGAATAGAACAGAACAAGGAACAAAGAATGGAATGGAATGGAATGGAATGGAATGGAATGGAATGGAATAGAATAGAATAGAATAGAATAGAAGAGAAGAGAAGAGAAGAGAAGAGAAGAGAAGAGAAGAGAATAGAATAAGGGATAAGGGATAAGAATAGAATAGAATAAGGGATAAGAATAGAATAGAATAAGGAATAGAATAGAATAGAACAGAACAAGGAACAAAGAATGGAATGGAATGGAATGGAATGGAATGGAATAGAATAGAATAGAATAGAATAGAATAGAATAGAATAGAATAGAATAGAATAGAATAGAATAGAATAAGGGATAAGGGATAAGGGATAAGGGATAAGAATAGAATAGAATAAGGGATAAGAATAGAATAGAATAAGGAATAGAATAGAATAGAACAGAACAAGGAACAAAGAATGGAATGGAATGGAATGGAATGGAATGGAATAGAATAGAATAGAATAGAATAGAATAGAATAGAATAGAATAGAATAGAATAGAATAGTACTGCTGATACCGTGTTGTCCAGTATTGTAAGAGGTGGTAGTATGGGAGGGTTCCTTCTAAAGTCTACCACCGTTTCTGCAGTTTTGAGTGTGTTCAGTGTCAGTTTTCTTATTGTCCTTTTTGAACGGTGTGTATTGTACGTACGTTTATTTGCAATCATAGATTTTTACAAAATTGAATCTGGTTTATCACTATTGCCATCCTTTCAAAAAAAAAAAGGACAATAAAAAAGCAAAGGAGGGAAAGTTAAAAAGAACCCATTCTCTCTAGATAAGCAGGGATTGGCACCAGACAAATATCCAAGCAAAAGCTCTGCCCTGATCAAGGAACGATCAGGGAGAAAACAACTTCTCCCCTCCCACACGGGCAGGACAAGCCACTCACAAATAAACAAACATGGAGAAAGTTCCACACTATCCTTGAACTACAAATATTCTACTCAACCAGAAAGAAAAGTAATTTCAAGCGCTCAACAGATGGAAAAGAGGGTTATGGGCGTCGCAAAGTAGCCGGCCTTGCAAACTTTCCAGGAAAAAGAGAATTAAAAGCTTTTAAAGAGATCTTGCTTTAACGAACCCCGTAATTAAAGAGAAATGGAGGGTCTCTCTGCCTCGTTTCTCAAAATTCCGGCTAGGAATTCCTAATTCTTGATGTTCAACTACATATAGTCCTCGGCTTACGGCCGTTTATTTAGTGACCATTCAACGTTACAATGACGTTGAAAAAAAGTGAAGTTAGGAGCCTTTTTCACACTTGTCCGTCACAGTATCTCTGTGGTCACGCGATCAAAATTTGGACGCTTGGCAACTTGCTCGCATTTATGACGGTTTCAGTGTCCCCCGGATCACGAGGTCCTATTTTGCGACCTTCTGACAGGCAAACTCAACGGGGAAGCCAGACCCAATTAATAACCACGTTACTAAATGTAGGGATTCTGTGACAAGAAAGGTCATAAAATGAGGCAAAGCTCACTTAACAACTGTCTCGCTTAGCAACCGAAAGGTTGGGCCTCAGTTGTGGTCATAACTTGAGGACTACCTGTAATTAAAGTGTGTGTCATTCCTGCATCCTGGATTCTACATTCAGGTTTAGAAGTTCAACCTTGGTGTCCCAGACAGAGGGACCCCCCCCACTACAAGAAGGGGGGGGAGAGAGAGAGAGAGAGAAAGGAAGAGAGAAAAGAGAGAGAAAGAGAGAGAGAGAGACAGAGAGAAAAAGAAAGAAAAACAGAGACAGATAGAGGAAGAGGAAGAGAGAAAAAGGGAGAGAGAGACAAAGGAGAGACAAGGAGGAAGAGAGAAAAGAAAGAGAAACAGATAAAGAGGAAGAGAGAGGGAAAGGAAGGAAGAGAGAAACAGACAGAGAGAGGAAGAGAGGAAGAGAGAAACAGACAGAGAGAAAGAGAGACAGAGAGAGGAAGAGAAAAAGAAGAGAGAAAAAGGGAGAGAGAGAGAGAGACAAAGAGAGACAGAGAGAAGAAGAGAGAAAAACGGAGAGAGAGAGAGAGAGAGAGAGAAAGAGAGGCAGAGAGAAGAAGAGAAAAAAGGAAGAGAGAGAAAGGGAGAGAGAAAAAGGGACAGAGAGAGAGAGAGAGAGAGAGAGAGACTGAATGCAGAATGCAGAATCGAGTCCCTGCCATGGTCTGAACTGACGCTGTTCTCCCGTCCCAAAGAGAAGCATCGATAGTGCGCGGGACAAGGGCTCCTTCTTTTGACTCTCTGGTCTACTCATCTTTCAACCCTAGATTTATGAGGGTGCCAACAGCCTGCTAGACAAGCTGGGGGTCTGGTACCACTTGGCCAATGGCACTTCGGACTTGAAGGAGATGGCCCAAATCGGCCTGCGATTGCTGATTGGATACATCATGCTGGAAGATGTGCAGGTGAGTCCCCCAACCTCTGCGCGGTCTGTTCCCACGTGCAGAGAACCCCTAGTTTGTTTTCCCACGTTGGTTATGTGCCATGAAGCTAGGGTCAGCTCTTAATGACCACACAGACACACCATTTTTGCAATGATCTGATGGCGACCTGGCTCTGTCCAGGAGCCTCCATGGCTCCTCTCGTTAGATTCTTGAGTCGCTACAGTCCACGGATGCCCAGGCACACATGGGAGGGAATATTTTAGGGTTAGCAGTTCCTCCAGATTACTGGACATCTGCATGTTTTGGAATCAGCAAATCCAGCAGGCTCCCCGCAAAAACTGGCCTGCCTAGAATTCAAACTAGCTACTTCATTGTTTTCAGCCGACGGTACAGGAATCTTCCCATCTGGAAGTTTTTGCCTAGGAACGACCAGGCTTGTTAAGGCTTGCAGGCATTTAAGGCAGACAACTTTAAGGCTTGTGGACTTCAACTCCCAGAATTCCCCAGCTGAGGAATTCTGGGAGTTGAAGTCTACAAATCTTAAAAGTTCCCATGTTTGGAGACCCCTTGATTTAGAGCAGTGATGGCAAACCTTTTTGTTGTGGTGTGTGCCGAAAACGTGCAGGCGTGCCAGCACCCACAATGCAACACCCCCACCTTGCCCCCTTACCTGCACTGTGCATGCGTGCGCCTCCCAGCTGATTTTCTGCCCATTTGAGGCCGTTTTCGCCCTCCCAGAGACTCTCGGGAGGCCGAAAACAGGCCTATTTCGGCACTTCCAGTACTTCCGGAAGGCCCATTTTTCAGCCTCCCGAGGCTGCAGAGGCTTCCCATGAGCCTCAGGGAGGCTGAAAAAGACCTCAAACGGGCCAAATATCAGTGCGCATGCGCAGTGCAGATAAGTTTGGCTGGGGCTCGCGTGCCCGCACAAATGGCTTTGCATGCCACCCGCGGCACCCGTGCCATAGGTTTGCCATCACTGATTTAGAGGATTCGACCTTGTCCTCTTATGTTTATGCCGTGAGTCTAAGCTAATTCCCTGCTTGACCCCTCCTGCCGATTGCCAGCAGATGCAGAGGACTTTGCTGACTCCAAGGCATGTTCTGATGCCCAAAATCTGCCAGATTGGATAGCTCCTAAATGTTTTCAGATCACCAACCCCAGCCGTGCGTAGCTGCAGAAGTCTTGGGGGAGATTCCACCTTCTGTGCTTTTAGTTCTTTAGTCTTCTGGATTCTCCTTCCTCAACCGTTTGCCTTCTTCCTTTCTCCTTCCAGCTGCAGTCGTTGGCCTACGTCAAGCTTCATGGTCTTCTCCAAACGGCTTCAGCCCCCAGGAAGGAACAAGCCTGTTATCTCCTGGGCAAACTGGAGACCCCGCTCCGGGCATCTCTGCACACCAAGTCGGAGACCTTCTCTTGGCTGGTGCCTATCATCCGGGCTTTGATGGACCAGTGTTACGAAACTTTGCAGCTCCAGCGCTTCCTGCCGTCTCTGCCACCCACCAATGGCAGCCCCACATTTTACGAAGACTTTCAGGTCTTCTGCACCCACCAGGAGTGGCTTAGCTTCATCGAAATGCACGTAAGTCCACCTGCCTGAGATCCAGAAGCCTCCAAATTTGGCCACTTTAAGGCGTGTGGACTTCAACTCCCAGAATTCCTCAGCTGGGGAATTCTGGGAGTTGAAGTCCACAAGCCTTTTTAAAGTTGCTTGCCCTAAATGCCTGTGAGCCTTATCAAGCGTGGCTGTTCCCAGGCTAAAACTGCCGGCTGAGAAGATTCCTGTACTGTAGGCTGAAAAAAACAAAGTAGCTAGTTTGAATTCTAGGCGGGCCAGTTTGGCGACCCTAAGCAAACGGAAGAGGAATATTTTGAATAATCCTTGGTCCCCCTTTGCTCCATTTGTTCTTTTTTTAAAAAAAACACTTTTCTGAAAAAGAGAGCTGGAAGGGACCTTGGAGGTCATCTAGTCAACACCCCTTGCCCAAGCATGACACCCTTCCCCCCCTCCTCTTCTCTTCAAACCCTGCCTTCCTCCCTTCTAGCACTGAAGACGTTCCCTAGTTGGGTCATGAAACTTCTGCAAGAAAACCACCCAACTCAGAGAGCACCAAGGTTCACCTAGTCCCTCCCCCCCCCCCCCCCTCTCTCCCTCTATCCCTGATGATGTTCCCTAGTTGGGTCACGAAACGTCAGCACTAAAAACACCCCGCTCAGGGAGCACCAAGGGCTCCACACCGTCTCTGTCCTCCCCTCCCTCCCTCCCTCCTCTCTGTGGGACCTGTGCTTCCAAAATACCTGGAGGACAGGTATTTTACCTGGTTCTCCCCCTTGTCCTGCACTCTATGGGACCGTCAGTATGCGTGGACCTTCCTACGTGTACAGCTAGTTCTCCAATGACGGCCATTCATTTAGCAACCTTGGGCTGTTCTCCAGAACTTCCGTTCCCCCAAATTTAAAAGTTTTGCCTGCCTTTCGTGTCCTTCCTGGTGACTTTCCCGGCTGGGTCCCCCTCGCAGGTCCAACCCACCATGGCTCAGTTTGAAATGGACACATTTGCCAAGAGCCACGACCACATGTCCAGTTTCTGGAACTCCTGTTACGACGCCTTGATGAGCAGCAATCAGAGGAGGGAGAAAGAGAAGGCCGAGAGCCAGAGGAAATTCGAGGTAAGTGGGCAGGTGGGCGATTAGGTAGGCAGGTGGGCAGGTGGGTGGTTAGACGGGCAGGTCTTTAGGTCAGTGCGTTCTGACCCAAGCCTCGTTCCAATCAAACAAATGCAAAACAGAGATAAAAGCAAAACCCTCTTTAAGGCGTCTCTGTGAATCCCGTTCGTTCACGGTAAAAACGCTATTAAAACTAATTGTCCCAGGTAAAAACAAGTCTTGCCAAGGTTGTGCAAGGCTGCCAGGAACACAAGATAAATTGCAAGGAAATATTCAGCGCCAAAATTCTCTGAAAAACAAACCAGCATAGACCGAATTTCCACGGTAACTTGAAGTGCGAGAACGTCTTTGCCTCCTGCAAAGAATCCCAGTTCTGAGGTCTGGCTTTTATCCCTTAAGGGAGGGGTCATTACCTTGCAGCCTTACTCCCGAGTCGCCTGTGCTGCTGCAGCTGTTGTTTCCTTCAAGCAGCCTGGTATGCATGCATGCTGGGCACAGGCTCCTCGGGGTGCTCTTCCTCATTGCTGCCAGCCCCCACAATCTCCGAAGGCAGCACTCCACCCCCTGATGGTCCTGGCCCCATCCCTGCCTCACACGCAGGCCCCTCATCCGAGTCCTCGCTCTCCGAGACCTCAGCCGTCCACACCTGCTGCCGGCGAACCACAAGACAATGGGAGGTGGGTGATTAGACGGGCAGGCCAGGGATGTAGCAGGGGTAGGTAGGTGGTTGGGGGCAGGTGAGTGGGTGTATAGGTAGATGGATAGGTGATTGGGTAAGCAAGCAGGTCAGGTGTTAGGTAATCAAGTATGTAGGTAGTAGGTGGGCAGATGGATAGACAGGTGAGCATGTGGATGGCTAGGCAGACAGGTGGGTAGTTCAGCGAGCAGGTATGTGTAGGTATATGGTCAGGCCAATGGTTAGATGGGCAGATGTGTAAGTAGATGGGCAGGTAAGTGGTTAGGCAGACAGGTGTGAAGTCAGACGGTCAGGTGGGTGGCTAGATGGTCAGCTGTGGGTAGGTGGGTGAGTTCGTACGTAGTAGGTGGACTGCTAGGTGATTAGGTGGACAGGTGTGCAGGTAGTAGACAGATAGACAGGTGTGCAGGTAGGTGAGCAGATGGATCATTAGGCGGACAGGTACAGTATGTAAGTAGGCGAACAGGTAGGCCAGGTGTTAGTGGAATTTGGCTTCCTGCATTGATTTTATTGGTTTGAAGTCAGCTGGGAAGATCCTAAATGGTGATCACGTGATCCCAGGACATTGCAACCTTCATAAATACACGCTGGCTACTGAGAGTTGAAATTTTGATCCATGCGACTGTGGGAATGTCGTAAGCGCGAGGACCGATCCCACCTCCCTTTTTTCAGGGGTACCGTAACTTCGAACAAGCATTAGAGGATAAACCCACCAGGGAAAGGCTGGTCCCAGTTACGACCATTAAGCCGAGACTATAGGGAGTCCTTGACTTATGACAACCGAGCCCCAAATTTCTGTTGCTAAGCAAGACAGTAGTCAAGTGAACTTTGCCCCATTTTACGATCTTTTTGCTGCCGTTCTTAAGTGAATCCCTGCAGCGATTCAGTTAGTCAAATGGTCGTTAAGTGAATCTTGCTCCCCTGTTGACTTTGCTGGTTGTTAAGTGAATCCTGTGACCCTGGGATACTGCGACCATCATAAATACGAATCAGTTGCTGAGTGTCCGAATTTTGATCACATGACCATGGGGTGGGGGGGGGAGTTTGCTACGACGGTAATCAGTGTGAAAAAGATAAGTCACTTTTTTCAACACCGTAGATACTTCGCGCGGTCGCTAAATTAACTGTCGTGAGTCGAGGACTGCCTGCATCCTTATTTCCACCCGCCCCCGTCTTGCCTTTCCTCAGGAGCTGATCCAGAAGCCTGTGATGAAACGGTCACAGTACGAAAACATCCGGCACACAAGTATGCTGAAGCAGGTCAACCACCACCACAATACGGTCCTGCAACAGTGGCTGGCGATGCAACGGCTGCTGGCTTCCCAGCGCTCGGTCTGGGCCGACCAGTAAGTGGTGGTGATGGGGGGGGGGGATCCCCCCTGCAGTCCCCTCACCCTTAAATCTTGGGAGTTACACAGGCGTCGGAAAGGGTGGAGCTTCTTTTTTCTTATTTGGCCTCAAATTTAATTTTATTTGCAGGTTAGTCCAATGCAACGTTTATAAGTTGCTGCCTTTTTAATATCTGAAATTAAACTTTTACTTTAATTTTTATCACGATGATAGGTTTTTTTTTTTTTACAAAATAATTTTTATCATCAAAATTAATTTGTAAACTTAACTTTTATAAAAAAAAAAGTAGTTGTATAAATTCAGTAAAATTATTTTTTTTAATTCTATAATTACAGATCTATAAAATTAATTTTAGGGAACTAATTAATCCTATTAATTTTATGAAATTGATTAAAAATTAATTTAAATCTAACATTTTTTTTAAAAAAAATCTAAATTGATTTTTAAAATCTTTCAATCTCAGATTATTCCAATTTTAATGTTAAATGAACTTATGTTGCAGATTTATTTAATTCATACTGTACAGGTAGTCTTCGAGGTACAACAAACAATTGAGCTCAACAATTCCATTGCTAAGCGAAGTGGTTGTTAAGGGAGACTTGCTCCCTTTATTGTCAGCATTGTTAAGTGAATTGCTGTAGTTGCCAAGTTCGTGATGCAGTTGTTAAGTGAATCTGGCTTCCTAATTGTCCAAACGTCGCAAAAGGGGATCACAAGACAGTACGACCGTCATTAATATGAACAAATTGCCAATCGTTCGAATTTTGACCACCTGACCATGCAGTGGTCATAAGTGTGAAAAGCGGTCATAACTCACTTTTTTCATTGTAACTCGGGATAGTCGCTAAGTGAACCATTGTAAAATGAGGACTACCTCTTCCAAAATAGTCACTTCTGGCTAAGGAACTTCCGGCCACAAAAGTAGACGAATGAATTTGCATTCGCACAGCTAGTTTTCCAGGCCAAAATTTTAGGTTAGGAATTGAACAATTGTTTGGAGTGCAAAGTTATCAACATCTGGGCACTGAGAGAATGTTAGTTAGATTAACTAACTAATTAATTAGTAAGTTAGTTAGTTAAAAGGGTATTTTCTCCACCTTAAAAGGTTGAAATGCACATGTTTGCTGTCGGGATTCCGACGATTGCCCTAATTGAATCATGAGCTTCGAGACGCACGCTTCAAAATAAACCGAAAGACTTATTAGGACCAACACGCCAGCGTTAACCTAAATGAAGCCAACTCTGGCATATGTAATTTATAGTCACTTGTGACCCTGTTTCCCCCACCCCCTTCTCCCTGGGTATGTCATAAATCAGATTCTCCAATGAAGCACATTCGCAGGCAGGGTGTCATCAATCACATTCTCCAATTAAGGATTTTCGAGGGCAGAAGACCCAGTAGCTTAGCTACAATCTTTGTAAGATAAGTGTTGGAATGTACTTCTGGTTTTAAACTGCCGCACTGCTCCTTCAGTTTTCCTCCCTCTCCTCTTGTTTATGGCAACTCTACAACAGGCAAAGGAATGCTTTACGAGTTGACATGGGGATTTTTTCTTCATGCAAAATGTCCATGAATTGAACATGTTTTCTGCCCGAAAAAAACACCATCCTCTTATCTCCGTCCAGGAATCCACCTGAGATCTACTGGAAGCTGTCCAACGTAGAGACCTACTCCCGAATGAGACTCAAGCTGATTCCCAATCACCACTACGACTGCCACGCAGAAGCTAGCGCCTTGCGGGACAACCTTGGTGAGAAGGGGCTGTGAGAATGCAGACTTGCAGGTCGGAAGCATTGGTGAGACAGGGGGCTCGATTCTTTCTAGGAGGCACACGGTAGGTTCTCGCTAGTCAGGATCAAAATCCTTGGAAGAAGTCTGCCCAGTTGTTACGTTGTCCAATCCTGAAGTTCTCGACGTGAAATTGACATCCGTGTCAAAGGATTAAGGTGATATTTCTCCACTTTGGCCGCTTGAAGTTGTGTGGGCTTCAACTCCCAGCTGGCTGGGGAATTCTGGGAGTTGAAGTCCACACAACTTCAAGGAATCAAGATTAGTAATATTAAGTTAGATTCTGTAGCATTGGGAAGGAACCTAAGTTTTGATCCGTCCCCAGAAGTTTCAGTAGACGTTGGTGAGATTCTGGGAAGAACCGCATCTTCCCAACCAGATATCCGCCAGGTGTTTTGGAAGCACAGCTGCCATCATCCCCATCAGTTCGTTGCCTTCATGGGATCCAGAAGAACATGACTAGCGCTGAGAACATTGTTCCCCACCGAGAAAGGTCTACCAGTGGTCGATGGCCGATTCCTTGCTTAAATATGGAGAATGGGCAGAAAAAGAAAGGGAAAACGATTCCATCCTACTTCCTTCCAGGTGCCGATGGCTTACAAGGTCCAGCAGAGTCCCTGCCTTTAGCGGTGGCCAAAGAAGCCAAAGTCAGTGAGATGCAGGACGATCAACTGGCTGAAGAAGACCTCTCGTTCTTGGACAATCAGTAAGTTTTGTCATGTCCACACACTCCCCACCCCCAAGAAAGGGGTATTCTCAAGGATTCCATAGTCCTCCTCCTCCTCTTTCTCCTCCTCCTCTTCTCTGCACACTCTAATCCTAGTACTGATGATGTTCCCTAGTTGGGTCATGAACTCAGAGAGAACCAAGAATCACACAACCCTTTTTTAATTCTTCCTCCTCCTCTTCCTCTTCCTCTTCTTTTCCTTCTCCTTCTTCCTCTTCCTTTTCCTCCCCCTCCTCCTTCTTCCTCTTCTCCTCCTCCTTCCTCCTCCTTCTCCTCCCTCCTCCTCCCTCCTCCTTCTCCTCCCATTTCCTTCCGATACTGATGATGTTCCCTAGTTGGGCCATGAGATGTCTGCAAAAAAACCACCAAGCTCAGAGAGCACCAAGGATCACAGAATCCTTTTCTTCTTCTTCCTCCTCCTCTTCCTCTCCTCCTCCTTCTTCCTCTTCTCCCTCTTCTCCTCCTCCTCCTCCCTCCTCCTCCCATTTCCTTCCGATACTGATGATGTTCCCTAGTTGGGCCGTGAGATGTCTGCAAGGAAGCCACCAAGTCCAGGGAGCACCCAGGATCCCATACTCTCTATAGATCTTCTGCAAAGTCCTCTTCTGGAATCCTCTCCACCTAGCAACAGGGAGATCCTTCATTTTTTTAACCCTGCCCAGCCCACTTTAGGATTTCACCGTTTCACCCGACCTTTCTCCGGCCTGCTGACGGTCCCCGATGGAGATCACCGGGACTCCTGAGGCTGCAGAAGTCAGCAGATGAGATTCTAACGACCGCTGTCTCTTCCAGCCTCGAACCCAAAGAGCAAAGCCAGCGGGAGAAGCTGCTCATCTCGGAGGATTGCGAACTCATCACCATCGTGGCTGTGATCCCGGGGCGCCTGGAGGTCACCACCCAACAGATCTATTTTTACGACAGCAACAGCGACAAAGAGGAGACTGAGGAGGGTGAGTGCAATGGGGCGCGAGAACGGCCTTGGGAGAGAGCAGGAAGAATGCTAGTAGTCCTTGACTTACAAACATCGTTGGCCCCAGAGTCGTAAGGGTGAAAACCAATTGTAGGTCCCCCGTTTCAGCGCTGTTGTAACTTCAAACGGTCGCTAAGTGAGTAATTGCATGTCGAGGACTACCTGTATCGATGTGGACAATGACATGAAAATTAACCCAGGTGTCCAGGACGGGAATTTCTTCCCTCCAGCCTGCAGCGTAAAGGCCATGCATTTAGCGACCATTCGAATTTACAACACCATGACCATTTTTCACGCTTAATGACCGTTGTGTTTCCCACCCACCCCCATGATCACAAATTGAGACACTGGGCAAACAACTCATACTTGTGACGGTTGCAACATCCTGGGGACATGCAGTTCCCCCCTCGGGCGACTTTCTGTCGAGCAAAGTCAATGGGGATCCTGGGTTCACTTAGCGACCGTGACTAACTGATCAACTGCAACGATTCGCTTAACCGCCGTAGCAAGAAAAGTCATAAAATGAGGCAAAACTCACTTCGCCACAGCCTTGCTTAGCCACTGAAATTTGGGGCTCGGTTGTGGCCGTACGTCGAGGACTTGCTGTAGATAGGATGGCGGCAGCAGTTTTTTCCCCCCACTGTCCCTGGGGAGCAGTTTGAGACTCTGCGATTGGTGGCTCCTTGGGGCCCCCAAGAAACGAACCAACGGTGGGGTTTCTGCGCCTGCCCCCAGGTATTGGACATGACTTCAAGCGTCCTCTGGCTCAGCTCCGGGAGCTGCACCTTCGCCGTTACAACCTGCGCCGTTCAGCCCTGGAGTTCTTCTTCATCGACCAGGCGAATTATTTCCTCAACTTCAAGAAAATGGTAACGGAAAGTTCCTTCCCTCATGAAAGGGGCGACAACCTGGGGCAGGAGCCATCTTGGAAACAGAGAGCCTAGTGGTTAAGGCACCAGGGTAGAAAACAAGAGACGGTGAATTCTAGTCCCGCCTTGGGCATGAAAGTCGGCTGAGTGACTTTGGGCCAATCACCAGGCGGCTGACAGTTCTAGTCCCGCCTTAGGCATGAAAGCCGGCTGAGTGACTTTGGGCCAATCACCAGGGGACTGGGAGTTCTAGT